CCACGGCCGAGCCCAGCCGAGCTCGCAACTCGACCTCGCTGAGGCTGCCAGGCCTGGCGATCACGACTCCGCCTGCGGCCGCGGGGCCCAGCACACGGCCGCCGGGCCTCCTCAACACATCGCTCAGAGCCTGTCAGCCAGGCCGACAGCCCTCTCCGTGCTAGTCTCCGATGTGCTCCAGCAAGGCCTCCCTCGCTGTCCACTTTCCCTGCTCTACTGTATCGTGTCCTTCGACGTGTACTGTTCACGTGATGTTTCACCAAACTAAAAGAGAATCCCCTCTCTCTAGCTTTTCCCTCCAGCTATTGCCTTATTTGTCTGATCCTCTTTACATATATATTAACACTCTAAAAGAGATTTCCACTCTTGCTACCACCCACTACGCCCCTCAGATGCTCTCCTCCACCCCCTTTTCCCCTGCGCTGGCTGTTCCCCAGAACCACACGACTCACTCCCTTTGGCTTCAAGTCTTTGCTCAAATGTCACTTTCTCAGTGACACTAATAACCCCAGTGAATATTCCCGAACACACACCCCTGAGACCCCAGCACTCCTGACTCTCCTTCCTGTTCTTTTCTACAGCATTCACCACAGTCTAATACACCACACTCAGCCACTGTTTTTGTGCCTCCCTCTCACTCCGCTAGAATGAAAGCTCCATGAGAAAAGGGATTTTTGTCTGCTTTGGTGACAGATTCATTCAAGTATTTGTTATAAATAAATAAATGAATATTGTGTTGGCTGTTTTAAAATATAATTTATCTGTTGTGATGTGATTTAACTAAATCAGAATAAAATATACTGCAATTTATTGAACTATCCCCACAGTTAGTATGTTTCAGCTTATTTGCCACAGTTAACAATGCTACAAGAAATTTTTTTGTACAAAAATCTATGTACAGTGCTAACTCTTCTATTGGTAAGATTAGCAAAAGTACATCACAGGAATCAGTTTTTAAATCTAACAGATAATCCCAGATACCATCTTAAATATCCAATAGAATTATATGATTTTAGGAAAACAAAAGACATAAGGCTTAAGAGTGAAAGATATTTTCCCATTTTAATAGTCAGAGATGCAAAATTCAATCTAGTGATCAACTTGGATAGCTGCTATAGATTTCCCCAAGCACACACAAGAATCAGATAATATAAGTGCCTCCTGCAGTCAGGGGCCAGGCTCCTTAGTGTAAATGAAGTCACTTGACCAGCAACTACAATCAGATTCACTGGATCCTACACCCACATCACCAATAAGAAGCCAGTCAGAATCCCAGGCTTTGGTGGTGAGTAACCTTAACACTCTTCCCTAGTGGTATGTTACCTCCTAGGTTCAAATATCTGGTAACAGCCTTCATGAAGTGGATACATAGCTTTTGAATGAAAATCATGATATTAATGGTTTTAGTATTTAGAATGTTGGGAGGAATGTGAACAGATTTGGCATTTTTACAGACTTGCAATGTTTAATGTTGTAACTCAAGTTCAAAGGTTATCTAACTAAGCAATTGAGTTAGACTTGTGACACACTATTAGACCATCTAAGAGAATTTCAGGTTTATCATATTTCTTTTAAACTATTAAATCTATAAGAATTCTTATTAGCACTTAATTTGGTCAGATCAAGTACCTGAAGTACTTTTAACAAAAAAAAAATCAAATATATAAAATGCATAAATCATTTTAAAATCTGGTAAAGATGATTCAACGAAGTTGTAAATGGAACCAAATGTTGTTCACAGACTCCATAACAACAATTGCTAAACTCTGCTACATTTATATATGTAACAACATCATTGGCCTAGGGAAGAACTAATGTAGGATTTTTTCAATCAAAAATAATGTAATATTGTTTAAACCAAAGTTGAGGTTTTAATACTTGTTTCTAAGTAGAGAAACTGCTCTTGCAGGCATTACGAAACTTAAATCAATTATCTTCCCAGAAGGGTTATAGACAACCATCTTCCTATGACAATATATGAATGTGCCCGTTTTTAGGCTCCCTGCCAGCACTCCATGATTCAACCATTTAAACTTCTGCCAATTTGATTGAAGAAAAATTAATTTCATTATTGCTTTGATTTACATTTATGCCTGGCTGACGAATGAAGTTGAACTGACCATCTGGATTTCTTCTTTTGTGAATTGCCTGTTCTCAGACTTTGCCATTTTTCTCCAGAGTTGTTTGTTTTACTTATCCTTTATTAAGAGAAATTCCTACCTCCTCCAGATTATATTTCTAGGGTTTTCCCCAATGTTCTATTGTCTTTTTAATTTAAACTAATCCATCATTTCTGTTACACGGTATGAAGGAGAGGTTTAAAGCTGTTTCCTAAGAGATGAATAGCTTAATTACATCCAAATTTTAGGTTATACATTAAGTTCTCAAATATATTTGGATCTACTGCTATACTAGCTCTTCTGTTTCTCTGACCTATTGGGACCTCCAATTTTTGTGGCTGTTTTCAAAATTCACATTTTTTCCTTCCTTTCTAGCAAGCTCGTAAGAAGTTAGTTTCCAGTTGTCCTCTCAGAGCCAGGAGTTCAGATTACCCATCATGGTCCCCGTATTAGCTCTACAACAATCTGATGTGACCCTGTGACTCACAGAACAAGAACTCTGAATAAGTAAGTACCCCAGCTTTACAGTCAGCCTGCCAACATTCAAATCCATACCCAGGCAATCTCTGGTGAGCGGCTTGTCCATTGAATGCTTCAGTTTCTTCATTTATAAAATGAGGGAAATGAAATCACCTCCTTCAAAAGTAGTCAGATAAACTGAGTGAGGTATTTTACTTAAAAACATAATGCCTGGCATGTAAGCGCACACCAATTTTAGTTATTCCTTAGTTATAAAACTAAATTTATAGTAACAAATTTAGTTATTTCTATTGTGTAACATGCATTAGCAGAATGAGATCTGAGTCTAGATGATCTCCGGGTTAATGTTAATGTCTCACTCAAGCCAGCGTGCTTGCCTGAGTTGAAGGACGGGGCAATGACCACTAGCGCTGAAAGCACACATCGGCCAGCATACCATTCTCTCCCTCTGGGAGTCTGAGGCCCTAGGAAAAGTATGTCCTGTGTGTCTGGGAGTAAAATGAGATTAGAAACGGCTGCTTTATATCATCGTCAACCCATAACTTAACTCATCTTTTTAACTCTCTCTTTTAACCAACCTCTCCTATCCCATCAGGCCTAGCTTTCTAAAAACACATTTTATCGGATTACCTCCCCTATTACCATCACAAAGAATCCACAACGGATCCACTACCTACCCCGGAAAATATCAACTCTCCTGCCTGGCTTTCAAAGCCTACCTAATTTAGTCATTCTCAGATTTTGTGCCAACCTCACAAATCACCCTCCTAGTGTCCTGCATCTGGTATCCATCTATGTTACATTACACTATTCTGTAGTACCACCACCTAGAAGACATACTTTTATTAACCAAAAATACCACAGCCAAGTATAAAGCCAAGAGGAAAACTGCTTTTCCTCTTTCTGAAAACCTAAGCGACACTGGCCAATAGGCCCACTTGGGCCTCTTTCCGGGAATTGTCAAAAGACCCCAACCCAGAAACTAATGAGCTCATTTGCAAGTTTTTAAGTATATCATAAAATAATAAAAATTTGGCCCAAGAGTTCAGAACAGCTTGGTGCTTTCTCAGATCTCCCCTGAGCCTCCAATCCCTCTTACCAGTGTTTTCAGTCTAGACCGTTTCCTTATCTGGACACAAGGAAACTGAACAGGAGCTGGACCTCAATGGACCTTACTCTAAACATTACTTTCTAAAAAGCCCTTTTAAGTATGTTTAGGAATTTCCATTCAAAATGACAGATCGGGCTACCAAGGTAAGCTGCCGCTCCCAACTCCAAAAAACTAGCAAGGACCCTCTTCTCACTGCCAAACCACCCCGTCACATGCTGTCTCCATTCATGACTGACCCTCACCATCAGACCTGACCACTGAAACTGCCTTGGTCAAAGGTCACCACAGGCATCCATGCCACCAAATCCAGCAGACACCGGCCGCTTTTATGTCCCCCCACCACAGCTCTTCCTTTAGGCATCTACCATTTTCCTGCTCCATGTTACTTGGTATGGTTGTTAACCACTTGGACCCATCATCCTCCCCAAGGAAAGGGATCCTGACAAAAGAAGGGCCTTTGGGGAAATGAAATGAGCCCCAGGAAAGAAGTGTTTGCGCTTTTTCCTCTGGGATTGGCAGTCCTTAGGACTATTTAATTTTTAATGTAGGCCCAAAACCAGGGACCATCTTTGACCCTATGTGAATACAGACTGCCTGAGAATCAAACACAAGAGAAAGAAGACAGATAGGAGGAAGAGGGCACCAGAGGAAATGGGATGAAGGAGGGAGAAAAGTAAAGACAAAGTTTTAAGAAAAACATGAGAAAGCAGAGCCACATAGGAACCACCTTCTACATCTATAAACACAAATGCACATTATTCTTCATAATGATTGACTGCAGAGTATCCACTAGATGGGAGTAACCGAATCTGATCTCATACTGGACATTTAAATTTTTTACCACTTTTAATCACTATAAAACAGAAAATGTATATGATGTATTATAAGCATATATAGTTGTATAGATGGCTGTTATACAGAGTCATTTTTGCAAAATTGGGATCCTGCACACCCAATAATTTAAGGGGAGTTTTACTTACCCACAGAACGAAAGCTGTCTGTCTTCAAGTCGTGCATACACACAGCACTGGATGACCCACACTGGGCAATATTCATATTTCCACAGATGCTGATTTTATAAAGCCTGTTATTTTGAGTATCAACAGCTTCCCATGTGTAACTAGAAAGGAAGAAAAACAATTTGTCACTGTCACTTATCTGCCAATAATTAAACTTCTCTCTAGTTTCACATTCAAGTCACATTTGCTTAAGACTACCATAACCTAGAAGACACACTTTCATTAGTGGAAAATATTAAAGTAGAACTATGCTAAGTTGAATAGAAGCCAGGGCAGAAACCACTAAATACCACTTCGCTCTGGTTCAATCTGCTCTGAAACAGCCTCACAACTCCACGATCATTGAAACACTTAAAATTCTACTATTAATTTAAGAACACCAACTCAGATATCTAAGTAACTGCTCAAGAATCGTGCTGAACTGTAAGACAGTAAATAACCTTTCCAACCACACTGGAATGCCGAAAAACCACAGGATTGTTTTTAACTCTGTCTTATTTAAAAACTAAGTATGGCATGCAAGACAGTTCTACTTCTGGTTTACCTTTTACAAGATGAAGCAGTGCCAGAAGTTGACTGCCTGATCCAAAATCAGACAACATTTACTTTAGCTGATCCACTATATCAAGCATGTTACATGCATTAAAACTGTCCGCTCAAACCTTCAGCAAATTAGATATTGAGCAACTGGCCATGAATCAATCTGTATACTTGGGAAAAAATACAGCTGACCCTTGAAAAACATGGGTTTGAAATGCATGGGTCAACTAATAAGTGACTTTTTTCCATTAAGTACTGCGCTGCTGTACTACATGACCACGACTGGCTGAAGCCACGGATGCGGAACTGTGGACACAGAGGGCAAACTGTAAAGTTACATGGGAATTTGTGACGGGGTGGGGGGAGAGTGGGGGCGCGGCACTCGTAACACCCACACTGTTCAAGGGTCAACTAGAACGCTTCGTCAGCCCCATCATACAATTATTCCCAATTCTCCACTCTTCCCAAGGAGAATGTTTTCTCCATTTTGTAAAATTTCCTCAGCAAGGGCACACAAGAAATGAGGAAAGTAAATTAAAAGTTTCTCGCAAAATGCAAAGATGCATTAATTCAACTACTGTTTTAAAAAAAGGAAGACACATTAAATCAGAATTGCTTAGGCTATCCTGGAATTGTGGAGGGCTTGGGAATGAGACCTTGAAACTGCTAAACCCTGAGACCACGTGTATGCATCCAGAGCTTATGGACAGCACCACCAGCTCGAGGAGAGAACGCACCCCAGGAGAGGCAGCAGTCCACTTCCCAGAGCCCCCCTCCACCGGGCGTCGGGCGATGACCCAGCACAAAACACCGGGCAACACACCCCTCCCTGCCCAGAAGAGGTGTCCGGAAGAGCCCCATTGGAGGGCTCTTCAGCAATGGAGGGACCCCACCCCAACAGCAGAGGCGAGCATTCTCCTGAACCCGGGTCAGGGCACCCATCAGTTCCCCTGCCAGGGCCCACAGGAGCGCTCAGGCAGGGCTGCAGACCGCTCCCCTGGAAACCTGAAAAACTGGCCAGGGTGCTTTGTGAAGGGCCCGGCCTTGGGTGACGCCAGGCTCACAAGCAGCTACCACTGAACTCAGCTTCTTGATCAGGAACACCTTAGAGCTATCTCCACAGTCAGGGGAGTTACACGGCCCGGGAAAGAGACCCAACTAACAGCAAGCACGAGAGAGCTATCCATCAAGGCCTGTTTCTTTCGACCTTCACTAACCTTTACTCATTGGCCTCACAAATTATTTCTTAAGTATTTACTGAGGAGCACAGCAATGACCAAACAATGATCAGACAGAAAAATCCCTGCCCCCCGAGTGTAGATTCCTGGGGAGGACAGAAATTAAACAGGTAAAAAAATACCCAGGAAAATTCCACCTACTAAACACAGGCGAGCTTTGACAAAAACACAACAGCGGAACGAGGTGGGAAACACGCAGCTACTTCAGTCGGGGACATTTTCTGAGATCATATTCTCCCTGGGGCTTCAATGGCAAAAAGAGCAACCCAGGGGGAGGCACGGTGGGAAGATATTCCAGCAGACTGCTCAGCCATCTCGCAGTCCTGAGGTGGAAATAAACTTAGCACAACGATGCAAAGGAAAGGAGGGGCTGTGGCTGGAGCCAGGTGGAAAAAGAGACCAACAGAAGGTGAGGTCCAGGAGATGGGGGCACCGGTCACACAAATTAAAGGAAGCAGTTTTGATTTTGTACTTGAAGCAAAGAAAGGCCACTCAAAGGTGCTATGGATCTTTCCTTAAAATTTTAAGCTAGTGGCTTTTATTTGCAGAGTATTCGTAAATTTTTCTATCAATTACAGTTAATTAAGGAAAATCGTGAATCTCTTACTCAGGACCCCCAAGTTTTTCCAGGAAACCAGACTTCAAATTTAAAGCCAGATGTAAAGCAGTGGCACTGTTAAGGTATGTGAAGGTGTCATTTCAGGATGAGTCAACTGGTAGGAATCAACCCTAACGAAATCCACATGGTTCCCGAAAATGTTATGCTTTTCTGGAAAACAGAAATCGGCTGCTGTTTTTGGCAAAGGTGATATTTAAGTAAAGAATGTGTTTGTGGAGCAGAAAAGAGATGAAAAAGAGTAAAATGGGGGACACGCTGTCCTGCCTATCTGGAAATCAAGGTTCCTAGAAAGCTGTTGCTCTACTCAGTTCTGCTTCTTTCCTCTATTTGCATTTTACATACGCTTTTTGTCAAGATTTATCAAAATGTTAAGGGGTACAGGAGTAACAGGGCAAAAGTACTTGAGTGCTGGTTTTTCTCAGGGGTTACTTTAATCACCACTCAGCACAGGGTAGCACCTTCAACAAGACTCCCAAACCCAAACTTTGGAGAAAAGTCCTTGGTCACCTCCCTTAAAAATGAAGGTCTGCGGGGGAAGGGTAGAGCACGTGCTCAGCACACACGAGGTCCTGGGTTCAATTCCCTGTACCTCCATTAAAAAATAAATAAACCTCATTCCCTCCTCCCAAAAGGATTTAACAAAAAAAAAAAAAAAAAAAAAAAAGAACCAGCCCTGCAAGCCATCAGTATGTGAAACACTTGGACCCCAGCAGACACATGTCTGCTTTAAAACAAACACACCTAGCGCCCTGCACGACTAGGAGTTCAGGAAGAATCATTCGATTTAAATAATCTATCTGAAAACTCCCGGAGCACATTCCAAAAACTACTGTCTATCCTGCTTTGCACCCTATTTAGGTTAAATTATCATCTAGAGACACTTTTTGCTTGTAGTAAATATCTGTTAAGGACGATGTCATTAAAATTGAAAGTCATAAATAATCCAGTAGCACTTTTTAAGAAAATTACATGCTTGGAACTAGATGATTCTAGACTCCTTGCCAGACTGAAGGCCAAACTACCAGAGTGGCCTAGGCTGAAATTACTCTTCAAATTTATGCTAAAGTTTAAAAGCATCATGATTATATTCTGGAACCAGAGAATGGCTTCAGAAACAATAAAAGTATATAGGCTAAATAAAATTTAACGGTATCTTTGAGGAATAATCATCTTTTGTCCAGAAGTTTGTCCACTAGAAAACTCCCTACCTGAAGTGAACACGTACAGCCAAAATGAGGACATCCAGCAACGATTTATTTAATAGCCCAGCAAGTGAGATGGTGCAGCTGAGATTCACAGAAAAGTCTATATCCTAGACTGAGCTTTTTCGGGTTACACAAGTAAAGACTTGAGAAGGGAAAAAAAAAAAAAAACCCAGAAACAGACAGGAAAAAAAATGAGACCAACACATTAGACCAAAGAGAAAAAGTAAGCTACAATATTAAAATTTTAAACTTTTAGTATGAAACAAATCATGGAAAAAAATAGCTGCAAGTTGTGTGGAAATGCAGTCTTCTACACACACACACACACACACACACACACACACACACACACGAATCTTTTAAATACATCTCCTCTACAAGCATCTCCCGCAGCAGGATACGTATGAAAGCCCAGCAGGCATTTTCATGAAACTCTGACACTCATATCAGGTCAAGCCTTCTAAAAAGACACCATGGTTCTAGTCCATCCTCTGTCCCATCTGCAGGAAACGACAGGACACAAGGGGATGGAAAAGGGACAACCACAAAGGCCCAAGGAAGCAGGTGGTCAATGGGAAACATCACCGAGAAGCCCTGCTCACTTCCCAGTCTTGCAACATTCAGTTCATATCCTCCAGGGAGGCAGCCCAATCCCAGTTAGAAACGCTCTTCTGGACACATAACCATCTGTGCAAGAACCTGGCCTTGAAAATCAGCAAAAGCAAGCAAAATCCTTCCCATTCGACCTCATTTTTTCAGACTGTAAAATGTAGTGAAGCCAATCTCCCACTCCTACTCTTAAAAACTCCAAATTCATTTCAAAGCAAACCTGACAGTTCTAGACACACACGTACGCGAGGTAGGGCCCCGGATCGCTCCGGCTGGTCCCTGCTGGTTCCAGAGCTCTGATGCAACCCTCTTCGCGTTTCCCACCACCCAATGCTAATTTTTCTTAGCTGTCTGGTTCCACTACTGCACAGTGACTCTGGACGGGAACGTCCTCCCTCCCAGAACAATGACATATAGGCATGTATATGGACAGAGTCACCATTCGCCGGCAGGCTGCGAAGGATGCCGGCCCGTGGACTGAGCACGCGTCACAGCACAGCTCACCACAGGCACAGACGTCGACTCGGCACAGCTGCCCAAGCTCCTCACGCCATAGTTCAACTCTCAGATTCCCCAGCTTGGGAGTCAGGGACTCCAAGGCTCAGAGAGATGGACCCCCGTGTCCGACATCACACAACTGCGGAATGGCACGGCCAGGAATACGGCCGGCTCCGCGGAGCCCCAAGGGCCAGGTAATCTGCCTCGTTTATTTTCAATGTTTTAAAGTTTTTCTTCACTCTTCAGAAAATGTTTAGTTTCAATCACAACACTGAAACTGGCAAACCATTCCATGACACTTTAGAGTTTAACTCTTGTCACAATAAATGCCCCTAAAATGACAGATCCTGTATGGCATGTAGGATTCTGGAGGGAGTGGGTGCTTGTGAGCAGGGCCCC